TCAATCTATAAATTCAATGAACAATGCTCAGAATCCATCTATAATAATTCTTTAAATAAGAATGAATGAAGCTTTCAAACCAAAATAATTCTTAATAATAACAATCATTTATAAGATCAAGGAAGCTAGAAGAGCGTTTCAGAATTTACATAATTTACATTCAAACATATTTACAATACACTCGATAAACCATGAAACTATATTTTACACATAAGAGAAAAAGATATAAAATAATAATAATAATAATAATAATGATGATGATGAGGATGATGATGGTGATGATGATGATTATTATTATCATTAGAATTATTATTATTATAATTATAATAAATAAGCATCCTGTTTTTAATTTAGCGGGTGTTGCCACCCGCCAAGACAATACGATTGCGATTTACTGTTAGCTGTGAGTTGCGTGTCAAGTCGAATTCCTTATAGCAGAGACAAATAATAGAAAATGCTTAAGAAGAGAAAATGCCAACGTGGCAAAGGTTAATGTCAGATCATGAGTTCGAAACAGCTGTTCCAAAGATCCAGCGAGATGGTCTTACAGTGTAATATTTTTTTACCGCTAAATCCCATTTCAATAATAACAACATCACCTTTTTATACTTCAAAATGTCAAATTACTGTGTCGAGAAAATAATTGCGACACTTCTGGAATATAAAGAGTACCGACATCTGAATAAAAAATTAATTTGTAAATCAAATCATTAGATCGAGAGGTGTTTGTGCAATTCGTAGCGGTACCTTACTCTTCAACGTTTATTTAATTACCTGTAATTCAATCTTTGCTGCAAAATCATTCAGCATCTTCCTTGTAGACGTATTTCATAACCAAGTGCTGATTTGAAAACAGGCTAATGATGTAAATTTACCAGGCGCATTATTTACATAACAAAGGCCTGGCTGCTCATTTACGCGCGTATCAACGCAATAAGTTTCCGAAGAAAAGCCGATGTAAACGGGGAGATCTACCTTCATAGATACATCTGATCATTACCGCCTTCCAAGAAAGTCTTCTTATTTTCTCCGTTCGGATCTAGTACAAATCAAAGCATGGCGGACAGTGACGAAATTACTGATTTGGTGCAAGAGTTCATGGCTGTAACTGGAGCTGAAGATATTACGGCAATGCGCTATCTACAACAGTCAAATTGGGATGTAGAGGTCAGTAGATATAGCACAGCATTTCTTGCAGGTTTAGCACAGTTTTCGCAGATGCCGTTAAATATTTTCTTATCGCAAACTTCTCATTCAAACAAGAGAAGTACTCACTCCCCTATCCCCTTTGCTTATCCCCTCTCTACCCTGATATCAAAATTAATGCATGTTCTTTACATTCCACTGAGTTTGAATGATCTTCAATAATCACTGAGTGGACAGTAGCTAACATGTATTGGTTGGACCTTTGTGTAGTTCAAACCCCCTAGGCCTAGGCCTTCAGTTGCAACAAAGCTGACATTATTTATTGATTGTTATTTTATTATTTGGTTTTTATAATAATTAATCATGTATTAAGCTTTGATAAACTACCTGTCTGACTTTCATTTGCTATTGGGTCAAACCCAACCATTAGTGTTTGTTTTTTATCATCCATTACTCTTGTGGTTTTTCTTATGTTGTCAGTCTCAATTCTTGAAAAGAACTTGATTATCAAAAAATTAATTTGCATGCTCATCAAATTCACACACTAATTCTTTTCCTTTTTTATTTTCTTTTTACTTCCAGCAAAATGAATAAAAAAATCAACATCATGCAGTTATTTTATAATTGGTTCCCAGCTCTTCCTATTAATTTTGAAGTTTAGTGTTGTTACATTATTAAGCCTTCAAGTTAGTTTAAACTAATTGAATTTTTTTGTGGTGGTGCTCTGAATCCCTCGCTAAAATTAATGTCTATGCTGCAGTTAACTTTTTCCAACCATTTTGACTGATAAAAATATCCCTTTCTTTGTATTTTGTTTATTATTACGGTAACCATAGCATGGAACAATGGGATTTGAATTTAAAATTGAATTTGTTTCCAAATTTTTAACCACTCGCAACAGGAATTAAGAAGTGAACCACAAGATTTACTAACACAATTTCCACTGACAATAGAACCACCATAAATATTATTATTCTTTGGCCCTTCATTGAATTGGTTTAAAATACAAAGTAGACGATGGTTAAATTGACAATTATCCTTGCAAAAGATTTAAGAATTTTCTTTCAACTTAAGACAAAAAAAAAAATAAAATCATTGCATTTTACTAATTGTTCATGATTTTGTATGTTGGTCAGGAACTACATTTTCTATCCTTTTTTTGCTGTAAATATCTTTTGAAGAGTGCAGGCAAAGTTTGATCGGTCTCTTTAATGGTTAATATATAAAATAGCTCTCTTCGCAATTAAGGATTAGCCATAAAAAATGTGGTTTGTTGATTGATGGTTATCACTGATATCTTATATGAAACAATAATTGGCAGCCCTTGTCCAAAATTCGAAGTTTGAGTTTCTAGGACTGTACTCTTTATCATCACCTCATCACCAGGGCTCGACACCAATGGTAGCCCACTAACCACAGACTAGTAGAAATTCAGTTTTGGCTAGTGGTTTCCAATTTCCACCAGCCAGTTTGGCTAGTAAACAAACTGAAATTGTCGTAACATCTAAGAACATCTAAGATGTCACTTAGGAGCCACTTGGCTAGTAAGTTGAAAAGTTAGTGTCCAGCCCTGATCACCCATCGAGGCAATTTCATAACAATAATAAAACTGTTTCACCACCAAGAGTAAATGCTTTAATTTCTCCTTAAAATGTCACGCCCAAATCACACATTAAGGTCACAAGAATAAAGGAAATGATCACCAACTAAAGAAGCTCTCAATTCCTCTTGTCAACACTCAATGAAATGCATAGAGAACAGTTAATTAGGGTTCAATGCTAACTTTTCAACTTACTAACCAAGTGGCTAGTGTTACAACAATTTCAGTTTGTTTACTAGCTAAACTAGTTTGTGGAAATCAAAAACCACCAGCCAAAACAGAATTTCTACTTGTCTGTGGCTAGTTGGCTACGGTTATTGTTGAGCCCAGAGTATGGAGAATATGCATACTTATGTTAGGGCATAGGGTTAAAATAAAAATGATGTGCAATCACACAATTATATGTTGAATATTGCAGTCTGCGGTAAATACTTTTTTGGACTCTAATCTCACCAGTGGAAGACATGGTGACAGGGGAAACCCAATTATGGTAAGTTTTGTGTATAATGTGTCATTCGCATTTATTTATTTTTTTTCAGTTTGTTCCATATTATCTGTTCAACTGCTGTGTATCCATTAAGTAAAGACACTCACTCTTTTAATTTCTGTCTGCACTGTAGACTGTCATTATTCATCAATCAAGTACATTTTATTGATTTTACAATCATGTCACTTGGCATCCTCAGAGACCCAGGGGCTGTGGGTCGATCTCAAGTTAGGACATGAAGAGCCCCTGGGGACATTGTCTTACAAGACTAGTTCCAAACGGTCGCAGTCGTTCTGCCATCTGATTGGTGCCAGAAAATCTTTGTGTTTTTCTGCCCAATCAGAGTGAAGTGTGCTTTAGAGTCCTTTCGTGTGTTTTAACACGGACATATACTAGTAGCCCAGTTGCTCGCCATGTTTGTTTGGACCGTGCGACAGAGATTTGCTTGAGGTGAAAAGTTTCAGTCTCGGCACACAACGTAAGAGAAATCGATCAGATTGTCCGCGAAAATCTTACCGGAAATTATACTGAATACTTTCGCAGGTATCACTAGAGAACGTGTTTTAAAGTTTGCGAGGTTTGTATACAACACGATGGTTGCAGTCATTGATATGTCGCTTTAAACGTTAAACGAGATTTAAGCTTAAATCTTTCTAGATTTTTTGCATAATTTGCTGTGACTGAAACTTTGCCAATCCCGTAAAGTTATTTCGTCGCACGGGCCACGCAGGTATGTCGAGCAACTGGCGCTTTCGCCTACGAAGCTTTCTGCTTTCTGTGCGCGCCAAAATCTAATCTTCGCTTTGTAGTAAAGTCGTTCACAATACGGCAAAGGTTGCAGAGNCACCCAGTTGCTCGACATACCTGCGTGGCCCGTGCGACGAAATAACTTCACGGGATTGGCAAAGTTTCAGTCACAGCAAATTATGCAAAAAATCTAGAAAGATTTAAGCTTAAATCTCGTTTAACGTTTAAAGCGACATATCAATGACTGCAACCATCGTGTTGTATACAAACCTCGCAAACTTTAAAACACGTTCTCTAGTGATACCTGCGAAAGTATTCAGTATAATTTCCGGTAAGATTTTCGCGGACAATCTGATCGATTTCTCTTACATTGTGTGCTGAGACTGAAACTTTTCACCTCAAGCAAATCTCCGTCGCACGGTCCAAACAAACATAGCGAGCAACTGAGCTACTAGTATATGTCCGTGTTAAAACACACGAAAGGACTCTAAAGCACACTTCACTCTGATTGGGCAGAAAAACACAAAGATTTTCTGGCACCAATCAGATGGCAGAACGACTGCGACCGTTTGGAACTAGTCTTGTAAGACAATGTCCCCAAGGGCTCTTCATGCCCTAACTTCAAATCGACCCACGGCCCCAGGGTCTCCGAGGATGGTTACTTGGTTACAGTACTTTTACATTGTTCAGTAATCCTATAGTTGTATTTCTAACATTAGTGCAAGTACTTTAATTTATATTGTCCTCTATACACTACATCAACACTTAAAATATTTAGTGGTTTAGTTAATGAATATTTACCATAAGGAACTTCAATGTGACAAAATAATGAACAGTGGTTTAGTGCATGGACATGAGTTTTACTGGAAGTATGGTAAGCTTGCAGACAGCCCAAATAATCGTGCCTCCTTATTTCAGGTTTCTAATGATGGTGATGATGTTTCTCCTTCTGAAGATGGGTCGTTAAATAGGTGATCAGAATTTTTCTTTACAAGATGTGACATGCCTCTCTAGAAGCTCGTTTTCCCTAACTTTAGACTCTTCATTGTTTTAAGCACCAGGAACTTCCTTCCATTATATAATTTTACTTTTTTTTTTTTTATTTATTACTGTATTATTTCTACAGTGTGTAATTTTAATCCTCACCTCTTGACATATAAACAGTTTGAATTTCTTTAATATAGCAGAGCATACTAAAGTAAACAAATGTGTTAAAAAACAAAACAAGACAAAACAAAGAAACAGAAACATCATTTATTAATCATTTATGTTTTGGAGCTCCCAATGCATGTGCAGTGACATTTAAGCCTGTAAATTTATATGAACATTTCCAGATTGTCATTTTTTCCAAGAGAATGTATAACCTTGACTTTAAATTTTGAGCAAATTTTACTATCTTCCTCTCTGATTGCAGTGTCTTTTCATGAAATAAAAGGAGAAGAACTTATGTTTGCTTAAACTTTTGGCACATCTACCAGCAAAAAATTGATAATGATCATGGATACAAGTCCATCCCAGCCCAAAAAGCACTGTTAAGTTAACAAATTCAGGTTGACGAAGTGGTACTTGAAGCCCTGACAATTAGATCTCTGATGTAGATGATTCTGTTTTTTTTTTTTTTTTCCTAATGGCAAACACTGATTCTTTACAGTGCAGCTACTGCAGAAGAAACTAACCAAAACTTAACTGTTTTGTCATGGAATGTCGATGGCTTGGATGAGAGAAACATTTTGGAAAGAACACGGAAGGTGTGCAGTGTCATTAACTGCAGAAAACCAGATGTGGTATTCCTGCAAGAGGTTGTTCCACAAACTCTGCCCATATTTCAGTCCAAGTGCCCAGGGTAAGTTAGTTTAATTGTATTAGGCATGGTAAAGAGTTATTAGTTCATGTGCATGTGTTTGGTGGTTATAATATGTAGCTCAGTAATAATTTTAAATGCATTTGGTTGTCTTAGTCACACCCTGTTATCTTCAGTTGTGATCCTGCAGTCAGTTAAAGTATTTACCCTTTCCACCCTAACATCAGCATGTATATTCTCCATACTGTTCTCTATACATTTCCTTGTGTATTGACAAGGAGAGTTTGTTTAACAGTCAAGTGAAGAGCTTGTGTAGTCATTGATCATTTCCTTTACTCTCACGACCTTAATGTGTGATTCAGGGGTGATATTGTAAGGAGAAATTAGATGCTAGTCACTCTTAGGAGTCAAACTCATTGTTATTATTACTAGTGGCGAGTAGACTTGAGGTTGTGGCTGTTTGGACTGAGGGCAGCGAGGTTACGAGGTTTGCAAAAATGGATCATTTCTGTTGAGATTACTGACCATCTTGATCTCCTTAGCACTAATATCAATGCTTAGCACTAATATCAACTCCTTTTTTTCCTATGCAGCTGCTTTTTGGGATGTCGCACAAAGCTCGCCTGTGAAGATGCAGGGGGAGAGGGGAAAGGCACGGTGTGACATCCCAAACAATGCTTGCTGAGGAAATGATGGTTCTGAGCGGGGAAGGGGTGGGGAAAGTATAAAAATTTAATCACATTGGTCTAATACTTGGCGGTGAAACAGCTGGTCTTTTCAGGACTGCATGTATACCCTAACCAGTCTTCTAGAAATGATTGTTACCTGCTGATCTGCGATAGCTCTTTAAGTGTACGTATTATGGACACACAAAAAAGTTATGTTTCTTCAGGAATAATTTGATTGTACTGTTGTAATTTGTTTTTACTCCAAGGTATTTCTGCAAATATGGACCCACACATGCATACTTCAACATAATGCTTCTTAAGATGTCATCAATCAAAACCACAAGTGACCTTCAATGTACGCATTTCCAGTCGAGTAAAATGGGACGCCACTTACTCTGTCAGCCAGTCTTGTTCAAAAACAAGATTGTGCTGACTCTAATGACTTCACACCTTGAGAGCACAGCTCAGTGCAAAGCTGAACGAATGAGACAACTTGGGCAAGTTTTGACGTGCATGGCGGAGCAGGCTGCAAATGCTACTGTCATATTTGGAGGTGACACAAATCTGCGGGACAAAGAGGTGTCAGCCTTTGGAGGATTGCCAGGCGGCGTAGTCGATGCATGGGAGGAAAGTGGGAGACCTGGAGATGCGCAGTACTCTTGGGATGTTAGATTAAATGACAATTTGAACTGGCCTTACCCCAACAAACCAAGAATAAGATTTGACAGGTTTTTCGTCAGGTCTGCCCAAGGCCAAAATGCACTGAAAGCAAATCAGTTTGAGTTAGTGGGAATGGAGAGGCTTTCTGGATGTCGTCGATTTCCCAGTGATCACTGGGGCATTTTGTGAGAGTTCTTACCTCACATAGATCAGAAGTAGTTTCTGTAAAAACTCTGAAAGCCACTTTCTTGCCGTTTTAGTCAAAATTCCCCCAGTGAAATCTGAAATTAGGAAGTTTGCTCTTTGCTCATTGTATTCAAGAGCTGAAAGATCAGGAATTTACAGCAACAATACAAGGTCAATTATCCATAGAACAATGGAATTGAACTTCAGTAGACATTTTAGTTATTTACTAGTCCATCCAGTTACTACAAGGTTGATGTTTTATTCATAAATATGTCATTAATTGAAGTGTGAATTCTTCCTAACATAAACGCACAACCTACACCTATACTCTAGTAGCATTAAAGTAAATGAAAACATTAATCATCCAAGGCATAATTATAATATTGTTTTACATGAATAAATTAATTGATTGTTGCCTGTTGTGATTCCTAATCAAATAAATCAATACAAGGGGACAAAATTATCGCTCAAGGTTTTGGTCACTACAAACCTTTCTTTTTTACCAACCATTTTTTGTGTACGTCAACAGAGATAATGAACATTTTTTAGTTCAGTGTGGTCAAAGCTAAAACAATTAATTTTTTCACCTCACTGTTGGTAAAAGTGGTGGATATTTACCTCCACATCTAAGAGCAACGGTTAAATATCACCTACAGAGGTCTATGAGTGCATTCTAAGCAACACCTTGTTAGCAAAGACATACTGGAGGCTATGCCCTCAATGTAGTAACAATTCTCAGCATGTACTGAAAACACTCAGTACACTCTTCACAGGAAGTGACAAACTTCCTCCATCATTCTGCCAGCTTACGCAATTTGTAGCCTTCTACTCTAAGGGAGCTGTGGCGTTATTACTGAAACTCCGCACTGGAGAAAAATACAGTGGCGGAAACTGGTTGTTTAAGTCGAACTGTGAGTCCACTGTTTGGCCAGTTGACCTGTTTATAAAGAGATGGACCAGACAGTTAACTTTACATGAATTAGATCTATTGCAATATAATTTGTTTTATAATTATCCAGAGCTTTTTCCATTCATTTGGCAGCTGACAGAATTGTTGTTACTCAGATTCTTTCTATTTTAACTTATCTACCACAATTGATTTCCCCAAATTAGGTTAGAACAAGGAGCTAAGATCTGAAGTCCCTTTAAGGTTGCACCTTTATTCCAAGATCAATCCATACATAAGAGGTTTAGTCATGCAGTCTCAAACAATACGTTTGAGATGTGATTAATTTTCTCCCATGCCAGCTCATTGAATGTATTTTTTTTATGTATTTGCAACATTTAGACAGGCTAGCCTGGTTCAGCCTAAAGCTGGTTTAAATGAGGGCCTGTATGGATAACAACAAGGCCAGACTACAACACCGGGAGCTCTGTTCCCTCCTCTTTGCGATAAGTGTGAGTTCTTTAACGTCCCCTGCTAACCAGTAGAGAAAAGATGCAGGAGATAGGGCCTATGGTTCTTCGTCCTTGCCTGAGAAGACTGGATTGTCTAACCATTTGCAAATATCATAGCAAAGGCAGCAACTTCTCAGTTACTTTGAGACCTTAAATGTTGGTCTACTCTGGGGCTTTAACCCTTAATCTCCTGCAAGGTAGTGCAGCGCTCTACAACACGCAGTACTTGACTTTCGAAAGAAAGACAAAGATTTAGTAATGGTTATAACAAACATGTAACTGGCATGTGGTGTAATGTGCGGTAAGAGAAAACCCCAACATAAGAGCCTGCTTGCACGCTGAACAAAATAGTGTTCTAACCAATTGAACTAACCACCTCCTGGTTAGCTCAATTGGTTAGAGGGCCGGATTGTGTTGTGTGGAAGTTTGAGGGTTCGAGCCCTGGCTGGACCCATACTCATGGTCTTAAAATAAGTGAGGAGAATTTGCTACCTTTCTATATTCAAGAAATGGATAGATATTCTAATCTTCTCGGATAAGGACGAATAAACCGTAGCCCCGTCTCCTGCAGGGTTAGGGGTAGGAGACGTTAATTTCCCATGCACGAGATTACTGTGTTGTGGATGTCCTCCCCTGGGGTGGGATGGGTGGGAATTGGCCCTGAAAAGCCCCCATGGGGAGTGGTCAACTTACCTATGATGTATGTATGTATGTATGTATGTAGTGGGAGGTCTAACAGGCAGCAGTAGACTTCCTGACAATGTACTATTATTGAGAACCCTACTAATCCACTCACAACATGCAACTTTTACATGAAACTTACCTGTATGTTGTATTGACACTGTAATGCAACCATGTAAGCTGATTATGGTGACGGCGTCCAACACTGTTGATTTGAAATTCCTTGGAATAACAATTTAAAGCAACAAGTCATGATCAGATTAATTCTAGAATTCTGTTCAATTTACTGTTCACAATTGTTTGCAGTTGTTGTTGTTTTTTTTCCCTTCGTCAAGAATTTAGTGGAAAAAATCAAACCCAGCTCAGCTCAAGCTTACCATGTGAAATACTTGTTTCAGGATGGGGGGTGGGGGCAGTCTCATTCGCCGACCTCTGGTTTGGTTGTAACTGTCAGAGGTAACTTTCTTGTTGATAATGATGATGACCTGCAATCAATATGGACATGCTTATGCACAGGCACACCACCAAAATCAATATGGACATGGTGATGCACAGGCACACCACCAAAATAAACATGTAACAAAAAAGCTACCTGTCAATGAGTGTATGGGTCTCACTCCCCATTTCTCTTGTTGAGCTCATGGACTGACGTGTGTCACTTTTGTCAGTTATCACTCTCATTTGATATCATTTATAGCAATGAACATTACGTGTCTTTGTTAAAAGAAACTGCGCTTATATCCAAAAGACACAATACAACTGATTTGGGCAACAACTTCCTGAAGATTTGCTGTCATAACACTGCACAGACTCAAAAGTAAGGTATGTGGCCTCTTTACAATAAAGAATTGCTCTGACTTGTTTCCCCCATAACTCATGAGCGCACAACAATATTTTTCACCTTTTCCTTTCAAATGGTGGATGCATCCAAACAAATACAGAAAATTGTTTATGTTGCAAAAACAAACTCACAAACCTTGTCTCCAGATAATCTGTAGTGGCCAACAGACACAGATGAACTATTGCCATGCTTGAGTTTTAGCCGTGCAATGGCAGTGACTGGTTCATCTGCACTGGTGTAAATTAATACTGTCCCTGTCAAACAAAAGATAATAAAAACTTCCATAAGGCAGTTTTGGTTTTATCAGTCCTGGGTTGATAAATAAAAAAAATTAATGTGAATTGGCTACTAGAGAGAGTTTCAAAGCTGATGTTTCGAGCGTTAGCCCTTCTTCAGAGCAAAAGAGAGAGATTGCCTCTAACAAAGGGCTAATGCTTGAAATAAAATTATCAGCTTTGAGCCCCTTTACAGTCATTATGGCCAATTTTACATTATTTTTTTTATCAACTCAGTTGAAATTCCAAAATTACCTTGTTAAACACCCCACCAATGCAGCACTACAGTTTCTTTAATTAGAAACTTACCCCCTTCATCAAAAAAATAATAATGTATGTCTGATGGAAAAAATATATAATCATAATTATTATACTGAACTGTACACCAATTTAATTGGTCATTAATACTTATTAATGATTAATAATTAATAATTAATAATTAATAATTATGTTGTATAATTTGGAGGACAACACATACATGACATCACCATTCACAACATTTATCTTTTTTTTTTTTAAACAGTAATAATTATAACAAATAGATTCCGCATTGCAAAGGGTCTGAACATTTTTAGATCACAGACAACATCAAAAATGATGTGCTCAGTAGTTTTAACATGCATGTTGTGCCGGGTTTTAAATGATCCAAACTCTGGCTAAAATGATTTCAAGTGTAAGTTGCTCGCGGAGCTAATAAACCCTATCATCAAACATACTTCTAACTGCAATTGTGTAAAATCATACAAGCCGTTGATTTGACTTTGATGATGGCTTCAACTGTGGTTGTTGAAGTGGAAGTCCTTCTCAGGACACCCAGGCTCCAACAATTAGACTAGCTTGTACTACTTTGTTCAAACTACTCTAATGTAAACTATGTAATATTGCTGAATCAAAATAATTCAAGGCTTACCATCGACATAAAACCTCATATAGCGATAGTACTGCACAACATGATAAGGACGATAACACAAATCCAGATTCTTTTCTCCTTCCCTAACATAAGAAGTCTTGCTTATGTAAACACCTTTCAGTATCAAAGGAAAAATAAAAAAGAAAATTCCTTCAGGTCAGCTTATTTGTAAGGACAAGTTATGATGATGTTAATATGTAAATGATCACTGTAAGTGAGCTGCAATTTAGTCATTGCAGAAAAGAAGCCTGAGAAAGCTTCAGGCTTAAGAGCAAAAAAAAAAAAAAATACTAGTTGGGTGTTACAACCAGTCGTGATAAAGAAGTTCTTCATTCCAAGGGATCTGATAGCAATTTTAACAACATTGCACGTCAAAACAGCATTTTCCTTTAACAAATCAATGGTGGTTAAAATATTGCAGACTCACAGTGAGGGCACAACCGAGTGAGTCTACAACAAAAATTTTGACAACTGTGATGACAAAATAATGTTATTGTCATGCTATTAACCACTGTGGATTAGTTTTTTACCCCAACATCTACGTCAAATCCAACCATTCTTTCAGTTAGCCACATGTTGACACAAGCAGTGATGTCTGTTGTCTGTACTCACATTGACAACAGCAAATTTGCCAATCAGATTACAACATTACTGCCAATTGTGATAAACTATTATAATAATTACTATTTACTTTGTCAAGTAAAAAACTCAAATCAGTAGTTACTGAGAAAAATTGTTTTAATTCTTGAATTTTCAAGAATTTCAACCCATTTCTGACCAACATAGTTAGAAATACCATTGGCAGTAAATTTTACTGGTTATAGCCTTGGGCTAAATAACATTAATTTTTTTAAATTGCTATAAGGTCTTAAATGTAGCATTTGGCATACTGTAGTGCACAAAATTTTCTATCAAGCAATCCATACCAACAAACAGAAGATGTGGACGTTTGATATACATGAGTCTCCAAGAGCCATTCCACTGCACTGGAGTACCACAGTTTACACCCCAAACCCTACAGCACAAAGAGTCACTGTGAATTTAACATTACTCATCATTACAACCCATGTCCTTCGCAGGACTGTCACAATACCTCTAACCCTTAACACCCTAACATCAGTATATGCATATTACACGACTCGGGCAGTCAGAGGGCCAACAACTAAAATCAACCAATCAAAATGCTCTATTGTCGGTCGATATTCTATCAGTATTGGACCGGGCACTGTCCCAAATGGTCTCGAATGATACCGCACTTGTGTCCCTTTGAACTTCAGTCGTGTAATAAATCTCTTATTAACCAAGCTTGCTCGGGACCGTACTGGAGGAATATCGGCGCTCGGTCTTTTTTGGTACGGACCTTGCTGCGCTCGGTCTGTACTGTCAAGACCTCAGGCCGATATTCTCCCAGTACGGCCCTCGTGCTTGGTTAATAAGATCTATTTCTCCATACTGTTCTCTATACCAGGGCTGGGGGAATTATGCATTATTTTAGTATATACTAATTACATTTATTTAGTAGGATTTATGGTTTTGAGATTTGCTTGCAATTCTCATTTGAACATCTTTTATTGTTTGGTACCCATTTGACCTGAGAGAATGTAACATCAAAGTGCTCACAGTTTTCCAATTTTCACAGCAAGATTGTAAATGACAAGTCAAGATAAAAGCCAAAACAAAAAAGAAGAATCAGTAAGCTTACTTACCCGTGTCTCATAAAGTGGCTGGCAAAATCCAGTAACAGAGAGAGAATGGAATCTGTTTGCCAAATCTGCTAATTCAGGCAAGCTGTAAGATGACATTAAAAAAAATAGCATTTTGAATAGGACAAGAACAAAAAAGATTGAATGGTTGCTTTCAATGATAAAAAAATTCCATCCATATCATGTAATACTGCAAGGCACCATACAGTAACTTTCAGTCAGATTGCAAAATTTATCACTGCATAGAATTGCATACAATTCTTTAATACAACATGTAAAAAGATTGTTCTAAGAGATCAAAAATTTATTTACTTGTTGCTTTTAAAAAAGGGGAGAACACCTTGGGCGAATCCAGAGGTGGTTCGGGTAGTTCGGTCGAACCCCCTAAATTTTCCCTCAGAACACTGGAAATCATATTTCCGAATACCTAATTTTCAAAATGTTGAACCCCTCAGAAGGGGAACAATTCTGCGAACCCCCCTTGACTAAATCCTGGATCCGCCCCAGAACACTAAAAATTGCTGCACTACACTATTTCACAGCTGCCACTTATACTGGGCTGAAATTAAAAGCAGTGATTCCTTACTCATCAGGTTCCTGCTATACATCAGACTCTTCACCCTGGTCTCCACTGGCTACAAATACATGTACAAGAAGACAGTACAGTGTTCAAAAAAAATTTGACATTATTTTTTTGTACCACTTACACTTGACAGTAATTTATAAATACCCGGTGAGTATATCTTTATTTCAAGATTTGTTTGTTTGTTTATACTTTTGCCCATTTGTTGTTCTTTCATTCATTCACTTCAATTCTCAATAATATTCTTGTACTACTATATTCAGTAATCACATTAATCAAAAGCTATTCACCAGTCTGAAAGTTGAGGTGAATAGTGGTGGATATTTACCGAGTTGCCAAGCGGTGAGGTCAATAATTATCACTTTCACCAACACTGACAGACGTAAATAATTGTTTCAATATGTACCACACATATACCCAATAATTAGTTTACTTCTCTAAATAATACCAAAAATGGTCAGAAATCAAACTCTTAGTGCATAGTTTTGTCTTTTCAGCTGCTCAGAGGTAAATAGTGCTTAATTGTTATTCACTTCCTAACTAGCCAATCAGCACACAGGAAAAACAATATTCACTTGTGTGTTATACTACATAAAATTATTGTTACAGTGATGACAATTATTATATCATTAGAAACTAAGTTGAATGTTTAGTAATGAAATAAGGTAGCTACATGTAAAACATACCTGATGCCAAATTTGTGAAATCTTTGATTCTGAACTCAATATCTGGAACAAGCTGAACAGCTTGTCGGTAAAAATAAATAGCTGAAAGGAAAAAAAAAAAAAATTCAAATACAGGGACAATCACAACTTGACAACAATGTCTGCTGAACCCCTGGCTAACTATTAATTTTAAAAATAATGTCACAGTTAAATTGTCATAATGATTGCCCTGAATCAGGGCTTGAACAGTAATTATTGCCAACTAGCCACAGACTATAGTAGAAATTCATTTGGATATATCAACAAAGTTGAAATGGTAAATTGGCCACCGTAATGATTACAAAGGGCTAACGCTTGAAACGTCAGCTTTTGTAATCGTTACAGTGGCCAATTTACCATTTCAACTTTGTTGATGTATCCAAATTATTTTGTTACTCCCACCCACCAAATTATTTTGTTACTCCGCAGCCTCAAACAGTTTCTTTCGAAACTATCAGCCTTTATTCTTTAGTAGAAATTCAGTTTTGGCTGGTGCATGGTTTTTGATTTCCACTAACCAGTTTGGCTGGTAAAATAACTGAAATTTTTGTAACATCTAAGTTGTCACCTGAGCCACTTGGCTAGTACTGTATGTTGAAATTTTGGTGTTGAGCCCTGCTAAATGAACCCTTGAATGCATGCACAAAGCAACATTATATTTACCTTCATAAAGATCTCCATTCCTTTCTGCAGACACTCCTTGTAAGAACAAATTAGCTGCCTGTGTAAAAATAATTTATATATTAAACACATGATTTGTTATCCTGTTTTGTATCAGATACTGTGTTGGGCACGCCTGAAAATTTTCCTACATATAATAGAAAACCCGCAAACACATTTATTTATTAAGTTTGTGTTCAATAAGGTCAACTAAAAAATTACCAGGAGTATTTTGCTTTTTATACTCTAGATTCAGCCTGCATAATTATTTTCCCCAATATTTCTAGAGCTTCACATTTCCCGAGATGCGGATGAGAAGAATTTGTAAAGCAATTACAAGTTGCATTAGTTAGTGATCATTTCCTTTATTCTCGTGACTTTGATACTAGTATGTGATTCAAGGGTCATTGTTTTGACCCTTTACGCCCTGACATCAGTATGCATATTCTCCATACTGTTCTGCATAACTTTCCTAAGGTGCTGACAAAGAGAATTTATTCATCAATTAAGAGTTTCTTTATTTGCTGATCATTTCCTTTGTTCTCCTGACTTTATTGAGTGATTCAGGGGTGAGATTGTATGGAGAAATTAGATGTTAATCACTCTCAAGGGCCAAAGGATTAAGGAGAAATTAGAAGCTTATCAGTCTTACCAATTGTTCTCCTGTTCCTTTACACGATTTTCCTGTTTATACATTTCTTTATGAACATCCTGTTATTGTTCTATTTCAGATTATTGTAATTGTGTTACAGCTGGGCTATGATTTTACCCTTTGATCTTAAGGGTTTCAAATTTCATTTAGCTTTCAGGTTTCTCGTATGCGCCATGTCATGTAGTTGTAGTTCGTTTCTTCATCGATCAAGTTTTTTAGTTATGCCATCAGCGTTGCGGGATCAATATTTTACAAGACAGTATATAAGAGACAATAATTATAAACCTTTAATATTTAAGTTCAGTGATAAATTTACTTCACTGCCTCTGTAACATATCCCCATGTTTTGGTGCTATTTATCTCAGGTTGCAATTTTTTTCCCATCCCAATTTTGCCTTGATGTTTGCTTACTGCTACAAGAATAGTTAATCTCCATTAATAGATGCACATGAATGACTAGCTGGAGCATGTTAAAAGTGACCAAAACTAACTTTAATCATTTAGACATCCAGGAATCTAGAACTACATACTGTACCTTCTCCTCTAACTGCTGGGGTTGCTGGAGTGGCTGGGATGAACTGGCCACTTTCTTCTGCCCCACCACCAGTGGGCTTGGAGATCCCTCTCGACTTTGCCTTGAAGCTGATTCTGACACTGGAGAATTCCTTGATGAGCCACTGTCAGTAGTACTTCTCTGGATTTCCTCTTTCCATTGCAGCCGAAATGACGCAAGCTCTTCCTCAAGTCCCCCCTCATCCTAGAAGTCAGCAACAGTTGGATCATCACTGTATAGTTCTGGTTGTACGTCATTCAACATGAAGCTTGTGAAATTAAGTCAAATTAATTTATCAACTAGAGGGTGTTATTTAGATATATCAAGGGATCTTCTAACCTACAATACCACTTGCACTTATTACAGCACTACATGCATGTGATTTGCATGCACTGCGCAGACAAAACATGCATACTGCGCATTACACACCTTTGTGTAATAAATTAATAATGCAACCATATTCAAGGAAATCAGTCAATCAGAACTCATTAAATGCATGTACCAACAGACTCTAAAGTGCATATAATAGGACAAAAATGGGAACACGCATACATGTAGGCTTCAAGACTTAAAATGAACTTGCACTAGTTCCACTCGCTCTCAACACTCTCTAATCTTTGATGCTTTGGTACTTTAAATTCATCAAAATTAATATAATTATTTTCTCGCTGCATAAGGAAAAAATTGGTTGCTGGGTTCTTTGTAGATTCAAGTTTCAAATAGTTTTTCTCTGAGTATTGCAAAGAGCTAACTCGAAATTCGAATTATGGAATATTGAATGGCGTTTTTGAAGTCAAATAAACAAACTTTGAGGCGCTCCACGAAGTTCCAACATTAAAATAAATTTGGAAAAGCCAGACAGGAAATTGGCAATTCACGGTAAATATTGCATCCAGGAATTTGTCGGTTATCTTTGTGACTCTCTTGAAAATCTCTATCAATAAGAAAGAGATCGTAATCACGCATACAGATGTTGTAGTCCTTGGTTACGCGATACATTCGATTCCTTGCATGTCGTAAGCTAATTAATTCAAACTGAAATCTTGCCAAATTACGTACCCTGTACGGCTAATAACATCTCGATACTACACACAAACAATTAATCTTTACGACATTGGATGGATGTTGAAATCTCCCTTGAAAAGCATTAAAAACAAGTAAAAAGAGATCTGAAATAAATGCTTGGTGCCAAAGAGGTCCCAAGATCGATGTCACATCAAAGTCGCATACGTTTAGCAGAAGTTGTGATAATATTGTGTAAGTATAGCCCTGGGTAAAACGGGCATCAATAGAAATGATTATCTCGAAGCCAAGTATGCATGCTTACCACCATCTTATAGTGATATTGTGATGCCGTAGCAGATTAAATCTTCCAGTTTACCGACAAAATAACAAAAATAATTTGTTAGTTTACACTTGTAGATGACCGCCATGTTTGTTCAAGTGTACTAGATAGAATAAACGTTATGATTGGCTTAAAAAGCCATCCAATCGAAAACTGCGATGTAATATTAGAGATAAAGACGCGTAAAGACTGGTTTGGAGTTAGTAAACCAATCAGAATCGAGAAGAATGAAAGCGGTGTATTTCAAATTTTCAGAATTCTCTTTCATGATCGGCGAGGTACATATGTAGTGGTTTTCGCTGTAATTAGTGTTTCCTTATAGAAAATGGCAGCCACTGACAACATAAGGGTTGCAATCAGGGTTCGTCCTCTGATAAAAAGGTAAGCTTCGATTTTGGGTGTGTTCATCGAACGCACTAGATCGTTTTCTATGGAGCACAGCAAACTGCAGCTTAGCTGCGCTAACAGACTGTTTGTAAATTCGTATGCGTACGATCGTATCGATGTATTTCTCGAATAAGATTTTATGATCGCTCTGTCATTATTGGTTTATGTGCTTATGTATTTGTAAGCTGCAATGAACGGTGGTTCTTTTTCGTCATTCGGTGCTACAGCTCTAACAAACACTTTTGGATATCATCATTTTCCTTGAAGCATTCTGAAAATATGCAATATTTTTATATTACGTTTAGCATTGAAATATTGCAATGTTGAATCACACTAAAAACTTAACTACGTCGCATGTGTTACGTGAAATGGCTATATTTCTTGCGCAAGTTCACAGTTTGGTAAAGAACAATGGATTTAGTTTCCCCCTTTCACCCAGACACGATAGTCAAGTGTTAAAGAACACTTTGAAGGTCAAACTATCCCATGATGAAATATAAGTGTGTAATGAATATGAACAATGTACATTTTATACCTTTTTTTTTTTTATTTCTTTAGGGAAAATGATTTTCATCAACCAATACACTGGAAGGTTGATGGGAACACCATTACACAACTGGCAAATGGAAAGATACTGCCAAATTCATCCTACTTTTTTGGTATGTTTGTTTCAACTGAGGGTACTTGTCAAGGGTTGGGTCTGGCCTACTGAAGCAAGGGATTAATTCAGGGCGGTCAGCCTGTTATTAGGGGCCTGGATCTGGGGATTTCCCCCAGGTATTAATTATAAGTACAGTTTGTGCAGGTCCTGGAAAACCTGAAAAGTCCTGGAATTAACATTTTCCCGGACTGGAAGGAAAGTCTTGGAAAAAGACTACAGGGTCTGGATAGTCCGGGAAATGTGCTTAAATCAAGCAATACAGTTCTCAGAATTTACATTATAAGAAATGAGTATAGACTGCAAGGAGAATTATTGGGAACGAAAGGGATAATGGTCAAATTTGGAGCCCTAGAAAAATCAATCTGAGCCTGGAAAAGTCTTGAAATTTGTTTCTGAAAAAGGGTACAAACCCTGTATTAAGTGTCTAAACCCCAGCCACTTTACTGAAGTAACTCTTGCTAAATTTAACTTTTCTGTATGCCTTAGATCGAATATTTGATATGTCATCTTCTACCCAAGATGTTTATGATGAGTTTGGCAGACCTACAGTCCTTTCTGCCATGGATGGATTCAATGGTCAGTATGCTACATCTGCCATGAGTCATACAGCACTAATGGTAGCCAACTAGCCACAAACCAGTAGAAGTTCAGTTTTGACAATTGTTTTTCAATTTCCATTAGCCAGTTTGGCTGGTAAACAAATAACTGAAATTGTTGTAACATCTAAGTTGTCACCAGCCACTTGGCCAGTAAGTTGAAAAGTTAGTGTCTAGCCCTGCATTATATACTTATTGACTGAGTAAGATCCATTCAAACTTGATGACTGGGAAAATTTTTGGCTCTTGGTAACAACCTTAACATTCAGGAAACATGATGATTAAGTTGCTAGTGCCCAACTTACAGTGACTGTGTAGGACTGGTAAAGGAATTGGGTTTAAGGCCCTTACCAGGGCCAGGGCTTGATAACCCGTTAACCAATGGTTAGTAACTTTCAACTTTCAACCTTTGGACTTACTAAAAATGTGTCCAGCTAACCCGATATGGTTAGTAAAATTTCTACCATTATTTAAACATTGGTAGACCTCAGGACAAAGAGCACGTAGACCCGCCTCTCAGAGGAATACTTAGAATACTCAAGTTGTTTAATCAACTTAAACTCTTTTTAGAGAATGTGCTGTAGATGTACTGTTCTTGACTAATCATGGTGAACAAGAAGGAAATAAAATAGGTGCATAATTGTCAACGTTTTTACGGTCACCATGCAATTTCAGCTACATGTACTCTTTAATTTGTCCTAGTCGTTACTATCAAAATGTTGAATCTTTGAGATATCGTAACTTGTGAGCTTAGATACCAAACTTGCTAATTTTGATAGTAAAAAAGGTGTCTACTAACCTGAAGGGTTAGTGATCCAAAAATTAAATTTGAACCCTGAGGGCATAGTTTAGTTTCTTTAAATAAGCCTTTAACACCCACGAGTGATCAAGACAGAATTTCTCCTTAGAATATCAATACAATATCGCAAGCTGACAAGTGATGAGAATTAAGATAAAATATCAACTAGGGGATTATTTGTTGATCCAATACCAAATTCTCCAAACTAACATGGTAAGAATTATATGGCAGACAGTAAAGAGAAATCTGCTAATGAGATCTTGGGAGGAGCCCCACACTTTTACTCCACCTAGGGGAATAAAATCAATACTGGAAAATTGTCAGGGAAGCCTGGGGAAAAAAAAAAAATTCAAAGGGCAGGGGGCAGTAACCCGCAAATGGATTGGCCTCCCTCCCAAGAAGAGTATTGGCATTCCTATGTAGATGTACTTGCATGGCCACATGTAACTGGGATTAGGTCCAGTGAGATGGTTTTTTCTGCTAATGTAAGCCTTACATCTATCAACTGTTGAAATCTGTTTCTAGGAACTCTTTTTGCTTATGGACAGACGTCATCTGGAAAGACTCATACCATGATGGGGGACGGAAACTGTCAAGGGGTCATCCCCAAAGCTATTGGAGAAATTTTTGACTATATTGAAAAGGTAGATACAAGAATCCAGTGTTATGTAGCTAAGACGTGCACCCTCAAGGTGAAGGAAGTGTACCTATATCCTTGTTGTCTCTTTTCTGGGTAATGCAAACTGACACTTTATATCGCATATAAAGATTTTAATGAGAAATACAAAGAGCTCTCTGTTATGAAATTGAAGTAAAAGGGATACGTTTCTTAATAAGAAACTAAAATGGTGGGGATATTCCAAAATAATTTGTTTCAGTCTATAAACTGAGTTAATCAATAAATGTAAACTTGCCACTGTGGAAAGTTTCTAAAAATGATGTTATAGGTGCTTATGAAAGCCCTTTGTCAAAGCATAATTACGCTAACACTCTGACCAAGAGTTTAAGGCATGGAACACTAGCTTTAGAATCTCTTCAAGATGGCTCATTTACATCATCATGATTTATCAGAAATTGCTCATTTTAATATTAAAAAAGTTGAATCGCATAATTAGATAAAATCTGGCATTCTGATTGCTTTACAAAGTGAGATATTTAGCATGGAATTGTGAATTAAAAACAAGGCTGAGTGGTATTTTTACTAGCTTGCACTCAGGATAGAAACAAACTGTATAACTGCCTCCTGGTTAACTCAATTGGTTAGAGCGCCGGATTGTGTTGTGCCGGAGGTCGAGGGTTCGAGCCCCAGCCGGACCAGTACTCATGGTCTCAAAATAACTGAGGAGAATTTGCTACCTTTCTGTAGCATCAATGAAATGGATAGATATTCTAGTCTTCTCGGATAAGGACAAATAAAATGGAGGTCCCATCTCCTACAGGGTTAGGGGTAGGAGACGTTAATTTCCCACACATGATTACTGTGTGATGGATGTCCACCTCTGGGGTGGGATGTGTGGAAGGAAAAGGTGAGTGCGTTACATGGAGTAAAGCGGCTGCCAGAGGCGCCTGATAATGCTGACATCCAATCTCAACCTCAGTAACACTGTAGACCTTAGCAATTCAGCCTATGCTGCCATTAAGGTATCAAATCATTCACTTTCACTATAATTATAGCTGTTCTCTTTTTTTTCTTATTTTCATTCAGTTATGCCATTCAAGAAAAAAATCCATTACCTGACTTGTGAATTCTGCATCAAATTGCACTTGAAAACTGATATCATGCTCATTGCTTTGCAATTTGGGCAATGGTGGTTTTCTCATGCAATTTAATGTGAAACTCCCTCTCCAGGCAATAAAATAATTTTCTTGTAGAAAGTGAGGGTTGAGGTGCTTTTTGGGAACAGCTTTTCTCTTTTTAATTATGCAATACATGTCAATTTATTTGCTTATTTAATTATTTATTTATTTGTTACAGAATCCTTCTAGAGAATTCTTGATACGGGTTTCTTACATAGAAATCTACAATGAGGTAACTGTATGATTACACTTTGTTAAAGCTATTCCACATTGGTACACATGAAATTTAAAAGGCATGCAATGTGAAATGTAAATAAATCCGTTTGAATTCAATTGCACTTTCTGCTTTTGCGCTTTAATAGAGATAACACGAATTAATCCACATATAGAGAACCCAGAGAGTTTTTTTTTTTTTCTTTTTTTTTTACCATTTGATGTTTATTATTTGATAATTAAAAGTACATGCAATAGCTAAAATGTTGAAACATGTTACAGATCTCATCATAACTCAAACAATTAAAGAAAATGCTCAATGAATACTGTAATTAATGAGACTTCAATGGCCAAAATTTGTTTCACCCATGGTCATATCAGTTGATATCTCCTTCCTGCTCTGATACCTTGATTCAAACCCTAAGGGTAACCTATCCATTCAGCTAATAGGTCTAACAAAGAAAGTGTTTGCCTATTGTGTTTGTTTGTTCGTTTGTTTGTTTTGTTTTTATTTTAATTTTAATTTTTTTTTTTTTTTTTGTCTGCTGGACTTTATTTATTTATTTATTCGTTCATCAGGACATAAAAGATTTGCTGAACCCTGCGAGAACCAATCTCAAAATACACGAAAACGCTGAGGTAGGCTGACGGAGTCTCTGAGGAAAGAAATACCTCGGCAGTTGTAAATGCACATCCATGATCGTGAAAGACCTTGGGAATTAAAAGAATTTGAAGTGAAGAGCATGAAACAAATTAAAGGATTCGATGCTGACGTTCGCCACCCTTTGCATGAAAGTGTTTCTGTCAAATAAGCCCTTCAATGAAAGTTCCTTCATACACGGGAAATCGTAAAATATGGCGCTGCGGTTAGTGGATTTCTCAATGGCTGCTTTCTAATTCGTGGTCTAATGTACCAGTCTCAACTGTTGGTGTGTACCACAAACTTCAGGCATCAAATCGAGTGCTTTGATCGGATAAAGTTTCCAAACGTTGTAAGCCGCCTTCTTGGAATTGAGGGAGAGTTCGAGGAAAGACTGGGTATAGGAAAACCAAATTATTGTTTGGCCAATAACATTGTAGAAAACAGTAAATAAAGAAACCTTTTCCATAAATTGTCTTTAGTCAAGATTCAAGAATCAACCTTTTTTGTGTGTTTTAGAAACAAGTTTACGTTGGTGAGCTGACAGAGGAGGTGGTATCCTGTAGCGAGGATGTTTTCAAGCACATGATGCGAGGCGAAAGTAAGTAGGTCCATCAAGGTCACAGTTTCCCCGGCAAGAACGCTCTTCGAAAAAGCTTTTCCCCTTTTGGCCAGCTAGCAATGCCCTTCCTTGTGAAGTTTCTTCCTCATGAGCAAATTTCGCCGTCGACAAAAATAGGAATAATAAAATTATGATTGAAAAAAGCCAGCACATTTGTTTTCATGTTGTTTTTGTTTTTGGTTGTGTACTTGCGAAGTTTGAGGATGCTCGAATAGAAGATCTGAGGGAACGTCGTCGCTGCCGCGAAGAACGTATATTAGCACAGGGTTGCTATCCATGCCTCAAGTGTCCAAAAGTTTGCCACTCTTATATTGGACTAGTGAGTCAACTCGGCGCTCACGACCGCAAGGGAGAATAAACAACGTTGTTGTATGCCTCAAAACCTGAATCTGTCGGTCGCGACAGCCAAACCAAACTGAACTGAACTGTGTACTTGACTCGTTTAATTTTTTTTTATTTCTTGTGTTTTTTGTTTTATTTGTTTGTCTGTTTGTTTTCACGCACGGTTCGTTTAGTGTCAATGTCTAAGCTGCAGCATCGATCTTTTATTTAGAGTGTGCGTGTATCTTACCGAGACCGTATTTCACCATCTTTTTTATTATTATTATTATTATTATTATTATTATTATTATCATCATTATTATTATCATCATTATTATTAATACTTTATTATCATTTATTCATTTGCAGAAAATCGACATTTTGGTGTCACTAATATGAACGACAGGAGTAGCAGAAGTCACACCATTTTTAGGGTGGTAAGTTTGCCCTCTGGAGAACAAGTTAGGCGTGCTGGGGAATTTGAACCGGAAGTGTTAAGTCTTTTCAGGGGAATATAAGCGTCACGTCTTTTAAAAATACGGAGGTGTTTTGGGTAAATAGTTCATTTTCGATTCACAGGCGAATGGCTCAGAAGAAAAGGTCGTCATGGTCTAGGCCAATATGTAGAAAGCCAAGGTCGATGATTTTGCCTTTTATCAAAAAATTGGGTGGGTCATTGGAACACAACTGTTGCCTTGGGAAGATGTTGAAGCTTCGAATTTACGACGATCATGGCTGATCTATGTACGATGTACACCAATCATTTCTCTACATTGTGTCCGCTGCGCTGATAACCGAAGTCTCCCTTGCAGCCCTTTCTGGCGTCGTCACGCAAGCGAAAACTCCCCCACCAACGGCTGCTCACATTCGAACAACAATCCTTTCCGGAAATTGGCAAATCAGCATGTACTTACCATATTCTGAAAAGCGTTCGCGCCTCAATAATCAAACCAATCACAGAGTTCGTATTATCCAAGCGTTAAAACTGACAAAATCGCGTCTCTTGAAGACGCTTTCGACTCAGTGCGAGATATTTTTGGTACTGAGAGCTTGAATTCGCATCAGAGAGAAGTCATAACAGTAATTATAGAAGAACTTTATTAGAAGCTTATAGCACTCGCGACAAATTGATCGCGCTCTTGAGTTGGAATAGCTGTAGAGGTCAACATCGATACAAGCCTTTATTATCTCAGGGATTTGTACACGACCACATCAGCTTTTGCTGAATTTTCTATCGTGTTTAAATAAATGCTGTTGTTGTTGTTGTTGTTGAAAATTCCAAGCACTTCTCCCAAATAAACATATTTTATCTTTAGAAACAGCATAAGAGCAAACAAAACAGCGATCATTATCTGTTATTTTCTTCGGAGTTTCGATAACATCGCATTCCATCTTTAGAAACTAACGCTAACGCGCTTCCTGTGAATTTGCGGGAATAAAAATGTAGCGTGTTCATTGGTTGTTTGTCAGACAATAACTTTATTTTGATTGGATAACACATTACAATGGGAAAGGAATATTGTTCGAATGCGAGCAGCCGTTGGTGGGGGAGTTTTCGCTTGCGTGACGACGCCGGAAAGGGCTGCAAAGGAGACTATGATGACCGCTGTAACGAGAAACTACGTTAACTCGGGTAGATGACGGCCGGGTAACATAAAACTTTGCAAAAGTATACTGATTGGCGACTTGTTTTTTTTGTTTATTTTTTGTGTCTGTTGTTTGTTTGTTTTCGCTAGAACAAATGTGGGTGATGACTGAACTTTCTGTTCGGAATCATTTTTTCTTGGTGATTTTTTGCACAAACAAGAGAACATTGACAACTTGTTAACAATAAACGCAACTATTTTAAACTTACTTACTGTACGAAGTATTTATCAATTATTTGTTGTTGAAGGGAATATTTTCGAATAATTCCTGGATGGTTTTCTTTATTTTGTATTTTGTTATGTTCAAGGTTATCGAAAGCCGTGAAATGATGGACGAAAGCAAGGCTCCTGATACAATAGACGGAGCTGTTCGAGTGGCACATTTGGTAAACTGATGATACTTACCTACACTTGATAATCCGATTCACATTTTCCTAAACATGTTCATTTTATCATGAGGCAGAAAGGATTTTACCCTTTCATTTTTTCAATAAAAAGGCAAGTTGTTGCTTTTTAACCACAGATAGAACATAGATGTGTTTCGACGCCCATTTTAAAACTTTTTATCAAATTGTCCTTCCATGCGAAGAAATAATTTCGTTTTATAGTGACCAAGGAGTGGTAGGTTTAGTCACTACGTAGTATAAACGGGGTCTTACCTAATTGAGTTTTGCTCATAATGCTTAATCTCGAGGTCGAATTGAGCCTCAGCCTGTCCCTTTTCCCATCTTATTTCCTTTCCCCCTTCCCCACTCCCTTCCTGTCATTTTTTTTATTTTTTTTTATTTTTACCTCGTAACATCTACCTGTGTTGTTTATCTCTTTTCAGAACCTTGTTGATTTAGCAGGCTCGGAAAGAGCTTCGCAAACTGGAGCCTTTGGTTAGCTAATGTTCTTGTTCTTGTTGTTATCCAGTGATTTCGGAGTGAGTCATCACCTTTGCTGATTACTTTTTTAAACTTTTCAGGTCAAAGATTGAAAGAAGGCGGGCATATTAACAAAAGTCTTCTGGCGCTCGGCTCTGTCATAGCCAAGCTAAGTGAGGGAGAAAGGTACGAATATTTTTTTTCCGCAGCTTACAGCGTGTTTTGAGTGACTGTCGAAAAGCTAAAGCCAAGATAATCAGAGAGGCTGATGGGAACAAAGGAAAAAATTGTAATGAGACAATTTGAGCTTGAATGAAAACCTCCCCACAACGGCGACCTTGAGGACAGAAATAAGTGGCCGTTATGAGGAGGTAGGGGTGTGGTGTATGGACAGCCCGAAGGGACCAAAAAATGGGATCATTGTGGAGAGGTGGCCGTTAATGAAGGTTCGACTGTGCATTTTAAAGCGCACACAAACGCGATTGAGCAAGTCAAGATTAGTTTTGGTTCGGATCTGGTTGGAGCACTTGAATGTTAAAGGCTACGGTCGGTTTTGAAGAATGCGAATTTGCATACACTGTACCTACTGGGTAAATAGAGCTTTTGGCGCGTTTTGATTGGCTAGTTCAGAAGTGATTAGCAAGTGTTACTCACCTCCGAGCAGCCGAAGAGACAAATTCGCGCATCGAGAGTTTATTTCCGACGATTCTTCGGTACATAGACAGAAATAAACTAGGCTTTTGTTTACAATACATCTATACTAAAACAAATAGTTACCTCAGTGTTGGTGAAAATGATGGATATTCATCTCCACTTCGGTAAACAAGCGTTAGCTCACAAGGATCTCTGACAATATGAAATCCTTTTTCCTTCTAGTTTTATACCATTCCGTGACTCAAAACTTACCCGAATCCTCCAGTCGTCCCTTGGAGGAAATGCGAAGACTTCCATGCTATGCACGATTACTCCAGCGGCGATTGAGGAATCGATCAGCACCTTAAAGGTAACTGTCCGGCTGCTAAATAAAATCTCATTCCCTCAACGCAAGCACAGTTAATTTAAAAACTGTTACGGTGTATCCCACATTGAATGCTGGTAAGGAAGGGATTTATTTCCCAACGCGTGCGCAGTTGCGGGGGAACACCATTCACTGAAGTTTGTCGAGCATTGAGTGAAAAACTAGGCTCGATTAGCAGCTGCTCTTCCCCGAACCCTAACCCCAGGTCTCTTTTCGGGGAGGAGCGAAAAAGACCGGACTCGAGATAGCGGCGGAAATCGAGCCTAGTGAAAAACCAAAGAACATCGCGTTTGGTAAATTTACTTGTTTTCCACTCGTATCATTCACTACTCAGCATCTATCTACGAATAGAAGTTTTGCATATCATTTGAAATTTAGTTAATTCTTTACTTGATGTTTCAGTTTGCTAGCCGTGCGAAAACTATCAAGAATTGCCCAGAAGTCAACGAGGTACTAATGCATAGATTAGAAAAAAGTAAAGGCAGTGTCTTGCTTTTTTACCTCTGTTGTCTGTTTTTTTTTTTTTTTTTTTTTTTTTTTGTGTGTGTGTGTGTGTGTGTTTTGTATTGTTTTGTTTTATTTTTGGTTCTTTATTTGTTTGTTTGTTGTTGTTGGTTTTTTCCGTTTGTTTGTTTATTTTCTTCTAGCGTTCGTCATGAGTTAAGTCAACAGCGTTTTTTTTCACTTGCTCCATTTAATCTCAAGGTTCTCGATGACGGAACACTTCTAAAGCGTTACCGGAAGGAAATACGTGAACTTAAACAACAGCTTGTGCAGGTAAGACGAGTCTGGGAAGGGAATTTGACTCCTACAAAGTATTGTATCCCCTGTAAGACCCAATTCCCGGTTTACCGTTAGCCTCTTTTTGAAAGCGAGGCCTGGTGCTCATCCTTTCATATCATAATGCGTTTTCATTCACAAGCAAATTAAACTAATTTTCACAACAATGGTTTACCGCCAGGTCTCGTTTTGGAGAAGAGGCGAGGGTAATTCCGAGAAGGCCTATTTTAAGTGTATAGCTACATATGTATAGATATATTGCAGGGCACTTGAGTTCCCTTCATCTAAAACTAACCAAGGTAGTCGCAGCGGCTGATGTAAAGGGAAAAAATTACTTTAAAGAGCCATTGTTGACTTGAGTAAAAACAGGGTAACTAAAAAAAAAGCGCGGGAGATCATAACTGGCCAAGCCTGCTATCTGCTAAGATTAAGATATGATTGGCTGTGACGGTGACGATGGTGCGAGTTTTTTTGGACCAATCACTAGGCGAAATACAGCGCATCAAAGCAAACCTGGTTGTACTTGCGAATCTCAGTTGAAAATTACACTACACACCTCTGTACCCAGTGTAGCGATGTGTTTCTCTCTCTTTTTTTTTTTTTTTCTTTTTTTCCTCTCAGCTCTAAGGTACCTCCCAGAAATGGATAACATAACATATACAGTTATCTTTTTTTCCTCTCAGATGAGCAGTAGTTCGCATGTACAAGAGCTACAACTCGAAAAAGAAAAAGTTAATGAGGTAAGAAACGTAAAAGTTAAGTAGTGCACCATGGGATTTCTCTTGCTCTCTTTCCCCTTCTCCCACCCCTCAACATTTTATTGATTATATTCACCCGTTTTCATGACAAATAATTCTTCAAACTGCCCTCCAACCAAAGTTACTGATACTCTTGAGCGGCATCAATATGGTACATGGAAATCGATATTCATGCTGAACTAATGTACTTTCTCGTGCCCTTTTCAGATGGAAGAAATGTTAGAGCAACAACGCCGACAACAGGTAGGAGAAATGCTGATAGCGTTGTTATTATTATTATTATTATTATTATTATTATTATTATTATTATTAAATTTAAATTTATACCGCGCAGTTTCTATAAAAATATTCAATTGCGCTGAGAAGGTCCAGTTCTGTTGACGAGAGACGAGCGCGTTTTGTATATACTGGGGCTGGCGGTATTTATTTATTTATTATTATTATTTATTATTATTTATTTATTATTTATTTATTATTATTTATTTATTTATTTATTTATTATTTGTCTGAAAAACTCGTAAACCCTCTTGGGCAAATAAAGCTTTCTTTGCAAGTTCTCGAGTAACAATACGCGTGAGTTTCTTAGGTACGCACGAGAGAGAGAGAGATGACGTAACCGGTTTTGCGCCTAGCTTGGGTGCGTTTGAGCATGTTTGTTTCAGGCCCAACTACACAAATTGTTAATGCAAGGTTGTAGCCCATCAGGCCTTATTGTATAGCAACACAGTCTTACACGTTCTTGCCTTTTTTTTTTGCAGAATGAACAAGAGGAAAAGATCAAAAGGCTGTGTAATATGATTTGTACTGCGGGAGGAGAGACTGCAAATAACCGAAGTAAAGCAAAATTGACAAAGGTTGGTAAATTATTTTAGATAGAACTACTCGTAAATTATCCTTCCTGAGGATTGCGATAGATCTTTTAGGGCCCAGGTCACTAAAGGACCTTTTGTCATCACGTCCACCCACAGAGGCGTGAGACCTGGTGTCCTGGGGCTGGTCTTTCCAAGGCTCCACTCGCCACTTCAGCTGCTTTCAGTTCAGTGAAGAGTCGACTGCAAAGAATTCCGTCGAGCCCTAGTAGCGACGAAAGTGAGTTTGGCGAGATGACAAAAGATATATTCCTGTCGACTTTAGAGGAGGAAGAAGACATAAAATCGTCAGAGAGCGGGAAAAAACGGGTTGTTTTTGCAAGTCCTGCGGGAAAAAGGTTAGTTTCTAAACCTGCGTGCAGAAGTAATTTACGGGATACTTCAATTTTTTCGACTTCCACCTAAAGTTCCAAGATCCAAAACCTAGATTGTATCAGGTCCAGTTCGGGTCCAAGCCTTTGTTGGATTACTTTGGTTGGTCATAGGGCAAGACACTTCACTAGTCACACAGTTGTAGCAATCTCCGCAAAAGAGTGCAATACGCGTATTGACAGCTGGCAAAATTTCAAGGGACTAAATATCTGAGTAGTGCTCAGAGTGGATTTGCAATTTTTTTGCAGGAGAATGAACAATTTGAATTGATTTACGCTTGGGGAATATTAAGGAACAATTAGCCACGGGATTCTCAACGCTGAAATCTTGTGGCTGTAAATAAATTCCTTCAGTATCTCGAATTTTTTTCTTCGTTTACTCAATCAGCTGTTGTGAGGGAATTATGTTCAATCTAAGTCTAAAGCACAGCTTAGTAGCCTAGCCATGCCTTGACTCCAATTTACTTGCGTCTAAGTGTGGCGCGTTGACCAAGAGTTACTTGTAAGCCACTTCGACTTCCGTTTATGCATCCTCTCAATTAGCCGATGTTATAACCTAAAGATTATATAGCGGCGCTCTGAAATTTGATATTAACATAATCCTCTATCTTGAAAATATTTAGGTGTTTATCCTCCACAACAGATCTGAAAAAACAGGAACACAAAGAGATGCAGACTGAAGTAAGTTAGTTTAGTTTAGTAATGGGAACAAGGATTTTGCTGACTATCGTAAAAATTCTCCTCAGTCATCTTATTGTGTCATTTTCAAAGCGGTGGAACTGATGTTAGGCTGAAATTGGCGCTATTCAACTTGGAGTGTGCGCAGTCTGGTGTAACTAACGCTTTGGAGAGTAGTTTTGAGTTCAGTAAATAGATATGGAAGGCTGTGAACTTTGCCTCAAATCTCCTTCGCAGCCGTTGTTTGGTTTTGTCACGCAACTTGTTCTTCTCGGGAAGATAAAGTATTGTGCGACGACACCACGGCTGTAATGTACGCAAAGTTTTGAGTACTGCCCTTCCAGTACGGTGCTGCGTTATAGATTCCTTTCTAGTCTGCAAAGAACTCACGATTTTGTGTTGAACGCCTTAAATCCTGATTTCCTGCGTGTTCGACGTGTGGTTTCCTCAGCCCAGCTCTTTGAGGAGATCTTCTGGCCGCGAAATCGGGTGACCTGAGATTCGAATCATCGTTGTTTTTGGCGTTGTTTTTCTATTAGCTTGTTCTCGAGATAAATGGAAGATGTTCCCTTAACCTTTTCCGATTATTGCTTTGCAGCCTGACCAAAATTGCATGGAAATGGAGCGTGAAGTTAAAAGGCTGCGGTCAGATCTTCATGAGGCGATCGAAACCCGAGACTTTTACAACGTAAGTATAGCAATCAAGGAAATCGAAACTGCTGTCCCTTTCCACATTTACCTTGTCTGTTTATATATTTTAAAAGGAGCTGTTGGAAGAGAGCAATGCGTTGTTAGAAAAAATGTCAACGGAGAATGGCCGAAACGATACCCCTACGGTATGATTGTTTGTTTGTTGAGTTTGTTGTTGTTGTTGTTGTTTAACTTGCTAGGCCGGACTTTGGTTTAAAGAAAAATTCTTAATTTCTCTACTCAGTTATTTCACACTGGTGTTGGTCTCGAGAAAAGTGTTTGAATAAGAAAAGAAGAAAATGAAAATTTACCAGCAGTTGACTTATCAAATGATTTTCCGTTTCCAGCTCTCTAACAAGCAATCTAAGTCTTATAATTATGGACAGACAGACAAGCATTAAGATAAGCAGAAATTCTCGTTCGCACTATGAACGGTTCGAAGTCGAAAGAAGAGAAGACAAATATTGAGCTGAGAAGACTGTCACCTCAGCGATATCGAGGGGCCAATAGTCAGGGGCCCCGTCAGAGATCTCGTATAATGTCTCATGGAACACCATTAGACGCTTTTTCAAATTGTGAGGGAAAAGGTATTGATTGGTTATGCATTTGCAACTGATGAGTCATTTTTATTTGTTTGTTTGTTTGACTGTTTGATCAGACTCAGGTGTCGATGTTGAAGACGTTGGATCAGCTCAGGGCTAAAAACAAAGGTAAATTTTACAGCGACAGGAATTCCTTCTCAGCACTGTTGTTTACATTTATTGCGTAATTATTTTTTTGGTTGATTGTCTGATTTACTCGTTGATTGATAGATTGATTGATTGATTGTCTAAACTCAACAGAGCTACAAGCTGAGTTTGACAGCGTCCAAGCAGAAAAAGAGTCTCTCGCCGCCAGAGTTGAAGGGCTTGAAAATGCAGGGACATTCAACACTGCCGCCCAAATGAATGCAGATTCCCTTCAAATGGCGTTAGACGAAGGTGTGCAAGAGAGAGACCGATTGTGTGAAAATTTGAAAGAGTGGCAAAAGAAATGCACTTGTCGTGAAAGCGATGTGGCCAGGTTACAGGGTAAAATTACCAACGCTGGGCAAGAGGGAGAACAGTATTCTTGTCAGCAAGAAGCGTCGGAAAGGATACGACAACTAGAGCTTCAAGTAAAAGAAATGGGAGAAAGGTTATCTGGTGTAAAGGAGCAGGAACGGAGGCTGACGGAGGCCATTGAAGAGAAGGTTCAGTTAGAGGAAAGTAAGAAATTGGAGGTTGCTTGCTTAGAAGAAGCGCTTGATGAGATGACAAAGGAAAAAGGACGACTGGACGAAACCTTGCAATTGTGGAAAGACAAGTGTGCCATTTTGGAAACCATTGTCGCTCTCTCTAAAGAGGAGAAGCCTAGCCTTGAGGAAAAAATGGCTTCCGCTCGAGAAGAAGCTTCAGTAAAGATCAAGAAGCTAGAGGAACAGGTGAAAGAAATGGAGGATAGGTTAAAAAGTGTCGATGGACAAGAAGGGATGCTGACAGAGGTTATTGAACAGAAGTTACAACTGGAGGAGAATCACAAAGTTGAAGTGACGTCTCTTAAAAAGACTCTTGCTTCCTTAGAAGGAGCACTCGATGAAGTTACAAAGGAAAAAGGAAGACTGGATGAAGCCTTGCAACAGTGGAAAGACAAATGTGCTAGTCTGGAAACCAATGAAGCTCTTTCAAAAGAGGAGAAGCTTTGCCTCGAGGAGAAAATGGCGTTTGTCGGGGAAGAAGCTTCAGAGAAAATCAGGAAACTAGAAGAACAAGTGAAGGAAATGGAGGAAAGGTTAGCTAATGTGGATGAACAAGAAGGAATGCTGACA